ATATAAGAACCAAAATCAAAATTTATTAAAAATACAAAAACATTTGTTAAACTCAGACATAATTCTTATAAAATTATAAGAACTAAGACTAATGGTTTAAAACTACACGAATCAAAATTAAAATTTGATTGACCTAATATTATACTACTTTTGGTCATTAATATAAGACTTTATTTGATTTTTGTTTTAGTCCCAAATATAAGACTCTAATCCACTTTCTCTCTCATATTTGTATATTTTTATCCCAAAATAGTCCTTCTAATAATGGTAGTTTTAGCCAATACACTTGATTAGCAAAGATATTTTAGGAAAGACAACACATATTTATTATAAATAATTAACTTAACTTCTTTTCTTAATCTTTTCAAATTAATCAACTAGCCCTTATAATTAGAACTGGAAGTAGTATAAGATATTAGAACCTAATTTACCGAAACTTTTGTCAAGTTCATGTGATGTCGTTGTTAATTAGTGAAACGCACTAACGCTCCATTTAATCGCAATGTTGATTTGAACAATATCTTTCGAGAGTTAAAGACAAATCTTTTACAGCAACTAGGAGTTCAAACTTCAACCGATAGATGGAGACAAGCTAACATGTACTATATTTATTACTCCCTTCACTCTCTAATATGAAATCTAATTGAAATTAATTTGATACTAAATATAATAATTTAATTTATTTTGTTTCTTAGATTTTTTATTTTCCTTCAAAAAAATTTACATAATCTATAAATTGATATCTAATTTAATGTGTATAAAAATATTACAAATAAATCATAATGTATTTGTTATTATTAATTAATTAATTAATTTTTTAATTTATCTAAATTATTTAAGCTTCTCTTATATTAACAAATCTTTTATATTTGGTAGGAACTCTAATTAAGTTGTATGGATATTTTCTCTACTTACTTATATGATTGAATGTTTTATTTTAGCCAGAAAATACAATACATCTGTATAAATATATTACTTCAAAATAAGAAGGAATTTAATTAGACTTCATCCAATAGAAATAAAATTTAGATATTTACTACCAAATATTAACAATAAAAATGATGATGACGACGACTTCATAAAAAAAATGATGATGATGATGATGATGAATAAATTATAAATTGTCTTAATGATATCCAGAGATTCTATTGAAATGAAGAACTGGCCTATACAAATAATTTGGCTTGTTGGTCTAAATCTAAAATTTACGTGCAAATTAGTTTTAAACTTTTGTACCATATGATGAGATCTTTATAATGATACACTAAATATAAAGGTCATCATCACACAAAAAGTAAATAAAATTTACTCAAACAGGAGAAAATTCCGTTTCAATGTATTTTAAATTTTTCTTACATTCTTTTTTTTATTAATTTCTCGTAAACGAATTATTTAAATAATTCAATTTTCAGTACATTAATAAAATGATTATTGATATCAATTTTATCTGTAAGGGATTCAATTGAAAAGTACTTATACATAATTAACTATTAAACAAAATAATTTTTTAATATTAAGGGCAAATTTATTTTATTAAAAATGCTCAACACATAAATTTTGTATTAAAGAAATTAACTATTAAACAAAATAATTTTTAAATAGTAAGGAAAAATTTATTTTATTAAAAATGCTCAACACATAAATTTTGTATTAAAGGTTTATTCAAATAAATAATGTCATCATTAGCTTTAGATATTTTAAATTGTGCCACGATTAAAATGACGGATTAATTAAACCAAAGGAATCTTTTCTTTTAACTTCTTGATTTTATATTGCAAATAACAACCCCTCCGTCCACCGTCTATGGCCAAAGATAAAGCAATTACTCCTTTATTATTATTCGATAGTTTTTGTAAAATCTTGGGTTTTTCTAAAATAAATCCCATTGAAATAATTTTACAAGAAAGTATGATTAAAAAAAGCATAAATAATTTTACAAGTAGTATTATTTATTAGTAGTATTTTTTTATTTGTCTTCGGCGCTCACCCGAAGCGCATTAGAACATCAATTATGGCAATGCTGTCTCTGTTCCAGCTGTTGTTGACTTGTCAACCCACTTGTCTCTTTCACCAAACTTCTCCTAATAACCAATTATTATTTTTATTGACTAAAATGATTTAAAAATCATGTTCATTATCATAATGTTTATACTATCGCTCTGTTATACATGAATATTCGTAACATATTGTTATTATATACAATAATGATTACATTTCATTTAAATTGTATAAATCTTTTTACCAACGATATATAGCATTTTTAATCGAATTTAGTAAAATTAGTTGCAGGTAAAGTAGTATTTTTATGGAGGGATGTATTTTTTTACCATATAAGTTTAATTTTCTATATATGTAACTTATGTGAATATTATATTTCATTTAACAGTATTTCAACCCTAAACACTCAATTACTGACAACTTACCGTATGGACAAAGTTTGCTAGTTATAAATAACAAAATTTATATAAAAATTATTTTATTATCAAAATGTATGCAACTTTGTTTGAAAAAATAAATCAAAATAATTATATATTTTTATTTTTATTTTGTTAAATTATACAATTTGTGTGTACATATTAAAATATTGGGAAAACCATATTGGAGGTACCTATACTTCTCTCAATTTTTAATTTGGTACCTATGTGTTTTTTCCCTTTAATTAAACATTAATTTTATCTTTTTAGCAACATTAGCTCTTATAACTTTGTTTTATTGATATTTTTAGTCTCTACATAAGGATTAATGATGTTAATAAAGCAAAATTAAAAATTTAGTTAAAAACAAAAAACACATAGGTACCAAATTGAAAATTGAGAGAAAGTATAAGTACCTTCAATATGGTTTTCTCTAAAATATTCATCTATAATTCAAGGTCTTTTTGTTGTTTGTTACGAATGAAGGAAGACTCATAAAAAAGACGGGCAGAAAAATATCTCTTTTTTCATGTCACTAACTAAAATTTATTCATAAGCCTTGTATCACCAAGCGAGATCAGCCGCATAAACTGCAGTATACCATTATATATATATGTAGATATTTTTTATATCATCATCCGGCTAATCCAGTTCGAGATTTATAGTCTCGTCTCGCTACAAATAAATTACTATCTTCGGTCAGAAGACCTTATTTGTAAATTACAAACGAGATTTTATAATTAGGACCGGAAGTAGTATTAACATAAAATCATGCTTAATAATTTTACTTAGTATCCTCCTCTATTTATCTCTAGAATATTCAGACTCCATATAGTCTAATTTATTTTTCTTATCAACGCCTTGGACGACTTTGTTTACCCATCCATATCACTTCTAAGGACTTTCTATCATTTTATACCAACTCTTTTAGATATATATACTAATTACGACTCTTATCTTTATTAAATAAAATTTGTGGAATTTTAACAAAAGTTTTTACAGAAATTGTCACTTTTTTTTTTGCCAGCCAGAAATTGTCACTTATACTAATGTAAACGTTGGTGTGGGGTGGGGGGAACTTTTGGTGAAAGCAATGTGGAAGGGAATAAAAATGATTGAAGTGACGATGGGATCTGGTTTTTAGTGGCCAAAAGTTACGTTACGAGATCTGTTTGATATGAGCTCACTGTGTACTCTCTTCTTAACTGTCGGTGGTGTCGGAGGCCTCAGCTTAGTAGTTACATTGTCCCTTTCGTCTTCCTTAAGTGATTTCCTCTTATTTTATATATATATTTCCAGCTAGCCATTCGCCCGCCCAAGCCTCCAACCTCTGGCAGAGAAAAGAGAGAGAAATCAATAGCCGTCCTCTCTCTCTCTTCTCTCTCTATTGTTTTGCTTCTCTTTCAGTCAACTCGATCTCTTATTACTGCATTCTGAATTCTCGTTGATCATTCTGCTTCTGCTTCTATCTCTGTCTTTGTGATCTTCTAGTGCGAGATCCATTGCGTTGATTTTGATCAGTTTGTTTGGAATTCGAGTGGTCGATCTGTTTTGCTGATCATTGGCGGTGGTAGATCGCCGTTGTTGAGGTAAATGTCGATTGATATTGGTCTGTTTGGTTGCTGCGGAAATTGAGAAAATGAAAACCGGATTTAAATTTTGACGTATCGAACGTCGTTTTATTAGTAGATTTTCGTTCAATGTTTATTGATCTCGTGAAAACATCGAGGCAAAGAAACGATTGTTGTTTTTTTCATTGCCGTAGCTCAGGACTCTGCATTTTTTCCTCTTTCCAATACAACGGACATTTCGCAGTTTAAAATCTAGCTCTATCAAATCTTCTGAGCAGTTTCGCTGGAATTTGAGAAATCTAAAGCATTTCAATCTGTTGACTTTGAATAATGCTTGGCGGAAGCTGGAGATCTGATTTACTGTCTTATCCTCTGGTGTCTCGTGCAGATCCGAGTGTTCGTTTCCACAGAGAAAAACGAGCTGCTAGTGAGGATTGTCCATATTAAGTGATGTGTGATTCTTGTTGAGTTTGAGCTACTGTTTGATCCTTTATTGGCTTCTAGCGAATATAAGTAAGCGGTATGGAGTCAGAAGGAGAAGCAGGGGTGAGTTTCATCACTATTTCAATTTGAAAAATACAAGGTTCTTTTGCTTTTAAGTTTTTATCATCATCTTTTTTATATAAACCTTAAAGTCACTCATAGGAGTTTTCTTTTCTTCGGAAAGATCTAATTATGTGATACTGAACTGCATAAAGGTATATCGTTATTGAAGAACCTTACAGTACATGCATCAATTTTGCAGCTGTGCTTCCTCCTTCCAATTTTCAATTTTTCATCGGTTTCCCTTAAACGTTCAAGTTATTCTTGTGCTTCTACGGTTTCTATTAATTACGAACACGAAAATGTGATCACATCGGCAATGCATTGTTTTCTAACCTTCTTTTTTGGTTATATCTTTTCTAATACTCAGGGAAGCCTATGACAGTGTTGGGTGGCCAAGTCTGCCAGATCTGTGGGTGATAATGTTGGGAAGACTGTGGATGGGGAGCCATTCATTGCATGCGATGTTTGTGCTTTTCCTGTATGCAGGCCATGCTATGAATATGAAAGGAAGGATGGGAATCAGTCTTGTCCTCAATGTAAAACCCGATACAAAAGGCACAAAGGTAAACCAAATGATAAAAATGTCTATCTTTCATATATTGAATGCTGTCATGCTTATGATGCAAATTACAATAGCTTATTAAGCTTCTAATGAAAAAAAATGATATGAAATTTAACTGGTAGGGGATTGATCTCTTTCCTCTAAACCAAACGAAAACGATGTAAGGCGCTCATTTTAGATCGGAATAATTGGGAAATGTAGGCAGAAGGGGAAAGAGGGGAAGGGAGAATAAGAGAGATCAAGGGGGAGACTGTGATGGCAAAATATGTTAGTATCAATTCAATAAGCAATAGTCTCCCAAATGTAAAAATTTTGAATAATATATACGACATAATAAATTAAATTATTCAAGATCTTCTGCGCCTAACATATGTGTCTTTAATTTTTCATTACTATCGTTTTGCCTAAACAAAGGCCTGTGCGTATGATATCTTAACTCTATCTTGTGTGCTACTTGTATTTTTAGTGAGGGGTATCTCCTTTTCCTTTCAAACCGAATCTTCTATGTGGATTGATCCGGATTTTTTCCCATAAAAAGGAAATCTTCAATGCTTATCTATTCCATACGCTTGATTTAAGGCAGGGAGGATGTGCAAACCACTTAAGTAATTGGGTTTGTGCCTGTTGCTCTGACCAAGGACATTTGGAATGTTGCTTTCCGTCTAATAAAAAAAGGACGAACGGGGTCTGGAAGGGACGAGGTGCTTAAAACTTGATAGGTACCGAAATGGAATGGAAAGAGTGGGATTAAAAAATGATTTTGAAAATTAAAAATATTTCATGTCTCTGCTTTATAAAAGTTATAAAAGAAGAATAGGAACTGTTGATGACAGTAAACATAGTCAAAGACTAAAGAAAAGGAAAGGAAGTCCCATTCCTGCATTCTTACCAGTGATTAACTTATTCCAAGGAATTTCTGTGCACATAGTGCATCCCAGTGAACCAAACCATAAATAATCAGATTAATATAGGCTTTAAGAACTTTTTCCGTCTCAATTTATTTCTCACCATTATTTGTTAGACATAATTCACTCATGCATACGTCATGTATTTAGATGAAGTGACTCCTCTGTTTCCTTTGGTCATGTACTGCATATATAAAAAAGAACTTCTATTTTGTGACTCTACTTACTGCTGCCTGTTGAACTGGTTTCAGGAAGTCCTGCAGTTGTTGGAGATAGAGAGGAAGATGTTGCTGCTGCTGATGGTGCTAGTGACTATGAGTCAGAAAGCCAAAGCCAAAGCCAAAAGAAGATTTCAGAGCGCATGTTGAGCTGGCACATGAAATATGGGCACTCAGAGGAGGTCGGTGCTCCAAAGTATGATAAAGAGGTTCCTCACAACCACATTCCTTTGCTAACCAGTGGACAAGAGGTAATTCAATCAGCTAGGCAAATGATATTTTTCTCTTCCAAACTCGTCTGCCCAAAAAAGTTGCACATTCTCCTTGAGCATCTTTAAATGGGATTCAAATTCAATTTCAGGTCTCAGGAGAATTGTCAGCTGCCTCACCTGAGAGGCTCTCGATGGCATCTCCTGGAATTGGTGGTGGCAAACGGGTCCATAATCTGACATATTCATCAGATATTAATCAATCACGTGCGTGTCTTTCTTTCTTTCTGTACCCTCCATCCTTGTACATATTTCATTTGTTGTCTATGCCTTGTTATGTTTCTTCGTGTGGTTATCTTATAGAGATTTTATACTCCTCATGCAGCAAATATTCGGGGCATGGATGCAGGAATGGGTAATGTGGCATGGAAAGAAAGAGTTGATGGCTGGAAGATGAAGCAGGAAAAGAATGCTGCTCCAATGAGCACTGGCCAGGCTGCTTCTGAAAGAGGAGCGGGAGATATTGATGCCAGTACTGATGTGCTTATGGATGATTCCTTGCTGTGAGTGCCCTTTTTAATAAACCATAACCAAATTGCAGCCCTGCTTCTGTTCTCAGCCTCTTATGCTTTTTTGTTTGTTGGTCGTTGTTAGAAACTAATTGTCTTGACCATCATGTATTCTATATATCAGATTAACTGCTTTTTGTTGCTTTGCCATTAAGTAAAGTCATTCAAACAAACTCAGGTCTTCAAATCTCCGTGCATGAAAAGTATTTGATCTATCTTTTTGTGTTGTAGGAATGATGAAGCTCGACAACCGCTTTCAAGGAAGGTTTCTATCCCATCATCTAGGATTAATCCATACCGTATGGTCATTGTTCTGCGGCTGGTTATCCTCTGCATTTTCTTGCATTACCGTATAACGAATCCTGTGCCCAATGCATATGCATTGTGGTTGATATCAGTCATATGTGAGATCTGGTTTGCCATATCTTGGATTTTGGATCAGTTCCCCAAGTGGCTCCCTGTGAACCGTGAAACATATCTTGACAGGCTCTCACTCAGGTAGGGCCGTTTCCAGGCTATCATGTTTTTCTGTTGCCTTATCCAAGCAATTCATCATTAAATTGTTCCATATGTCTTGCTATTTCATTCTGATGTTTTTTTCTTACACAAAATCTGAATTGCAGGTATGAACCGGAAGGAGAACCATCACAACTAGCAGCTGTTGACATTTTTGTCAGTACTGTTGACCCATTAAAGGAGCCCCCACTTGTGACTGCCAATACCGTGCTATCTATTCTTGCAGTCGATTACCCAGTTGATAAGGTCTCCTGCTATGTGTCTGACGATGGTGCTGCTATGTTGACATTTGAAGCTCTGGCTGAGACGTCAGAGTTTGCAAGGAAATGGGTTCCTTTTTGCAAGAAGTACAGCATCGAACCCCGGGCTCCAGAGTGGTACTTTGCCCTGAAGGTTGACTACTTGAAGGATAAGGTCCATCCGTCATTTGTCAAAGAACGTAGAGCCATGAAGGTAAGAGTTTTGACTTTTACGCACCTGTGATTAGCTTGTGCTAAGGTTCCTCAAGGATATCTATTTAGCTTATGTGTTCCCTTGCTTCACAGAGAGAATATGAAGAATTCAAAGTTCGTATTAATGGATTTGTTGCAAAGGCACAGAAGGTTCCTGAAGAAGGATGGGTAATGCAAGATGGCACTCCATGGCCTGGAAACAACACTAGAGACCATCCAGGAATGATCCAGGTAGTTTCTTTATTTTGGTTTGGATGATTTCTCAAAGTTAAGATGACTTGCTTATCTGTTGCTTATCTGTCAAAAAAGAAGTACATGTATTTCATTCATTTGACCACTGAGATTGCGTACTTTATTTTCAGGTGTTTTTGGGCCAAAGCGGAGGACTTGACACAGAGGGTAATGAGTTACCTCGCTTAGTCTATGTTTCTCGTGAAAAGCGTCCAGGTTTTCAACATCACAAGAAGGCCGGTGCCATGAATGCGCTGGTGAGTCATGATTACCGTAGAATGCGATGACAGTTGTTTTCTCCAATTATATTCTTTTCTAACCCATGGCAATTAATATAACTGTTGCAGGTTCGTGTATCAGCCGTTCTTACTAATGGTCCTTTCTTATTGAATCTTGATTGTGATCACTACATAAACAACAGCAAGGCCCTGAGGGAAGCGATGTGTTTCATGATGGATCCCAACCTTGGGAAAAATGTTTGCTATGTCCAGTTCCCTCAAAGGTTTGATGGTATTGATAGGAATGATCGATATGCCAATCGTAACACCGTTTTCTTTGATGTAAGTATCTCACAATTCATATTCAACCATTTTTCCTAATGTCAAGTGCCTTGTTCCTTGGTTGGAATGTATTATACTTTTCATGTACTGGAAGTGATTTAACTTCTTTGTTATACTGAGTTTTCTTTTTCATTTCTTCGTGAATGACAGATAAACTTGAGAGGTTTGGATGGCATTCAAGGACCTGTGTATGTCGGTACTGGATGTGTCTTCAATAGAACGGCCTTGTATGGATATGAACCTCCCGTCAAACCCAAGCATAAGAAACCCGGGTTGCTGTCTTCACTCTGTGGTGGAAGTCGAAAGAAGAAGTCTAAATCTAGCAAGAAAGGCTCAGACAAGAAAAAATCTGGCAAAAACGTTGACCCAACTGTGCCCATCTTCAACCTGGAAGATATAGAAGAAGGAGTCGAAGGTATGCCTGTTAATGCATTTTTCTCCTGGTCACTATGTACCTCTCAAACTCTTGATGCATATTTTGCATTGATTTCTTTCAGTTGACTTCGTTTTCTCAAATGACAACTCTTGTATATGCAATTTTATGTGCAGGGGCTGGATTTGATGATGAGAAGACACTACTTATGTCACAAATGAGCCTTGAGAAAAGGTTTGGTCAATCTGCTGTTTTTGTTGCGTCTACGCTTATGGAGAATGGTGGTGTTCCTCAGTCTGCAACCCCAGAAACTCTGCTTAAGGAGGCTATCCATGTTATCAGCTGTGGTTATGAGGACAAGTCAGAATGGGGAACTGAGGTATGGTGCTTTCTTATGTTAAATTCTCATTTTCTTTCGTATTCCCACTCACATTCCAAAAGAACTGAGTTGGTAGTTGAATCAATGGGTCTTTATCCAAAATGAGCTAAGGAAGGGATGGAGGTTGTGAAGAAGCCTAGCCTCAGGCTGATGGTTTATTTAAAACATATGATGCAGTTATATATTTATATTAATTTTCTCAAGATCACCAATATTTGTCTTGTTTTATACAGATAGGATGGATCTATGGTTCAGTCACAGAAGATATTCTCACTGGATTTAAGATGCATGCTCGTGGCTGGCGATCTATTTACTGCATCCCCAAGCTTCCAGCATTTAAAGGTTCAGCTCCTATCAATCTTTCAGATCGTCTGAACCAAGTGCTTCGATGGGCTCTGGGTTCTGTGGAAATTCTTCTCAGTAGACACTGTCCCATCTGGTATGGTTACAGTGGAAGGCTCAAATGGCTTGAGAGGTTCGCTTATGTCAACACCACAATCTATCCAATCACTTCCATTCCCCTCCTCATGTACTGTACCTTGCCAGCCGTCTGTCTTCTCACAAATAAATTCATTATCCCACAGGTTTGTTTTTTCTCCATGATTTTTATTCAACATGTGTCTTGACGAGATATTCCTCCACTCATAAATATATGAACCCCTTAACTAATTTAAATAAATTAATAAATTTTTAATGCTAACAAATATGACATAATTTCTCTAAAATACCTTCATAGGACGCTAGATTTTATATATGTGTGTGTATAAAATGACATAATTTCTCTAAAATACCTTGATAGAACAACTAGATTTTATATATATATATATATCATTTTATAAGCAAATTAGTTTGGATAAAAGTGATATGATTTAAAGTCTTACATTCAACACCAACAAAGCAAAAACACACCTTAACTACCTCCTACGTTTCGTGGGAGAAGTATGAAGCAGTGGGCTTGAGTACTGATAACTGATTTTTGCTTTGCTTGCAGATTAGCAACATTGCAAGTATATGGTTTATCTCCCTCTTTCTTTCCATTTTGCAACGGGTATCCTGGAGATGAGGTGGAGTGGTGTTGGAATCGACGAGTGGTGGAGAAATGAGCAGTTTTGGGTCATCGGTGGTGTCTCCGCCCATCTATTCGCCGTGTTCCAAGGTTTACTCAAAGTTCTCGCCGGAATTGACACAAACTTCACCGTCACCTCCAAGGCATCAGATGAAGAAGGCGACTTTGCTGAACTCTACATGTTCAAATGGACCACCCTCCTCATCCCACCCACCACCCTCATCATCATCAACCTCGTCGGAGTCGTCGCCGGCATCTCCTACGCCATTAACAGTGGCTACCAGTCGTGGGGCCCACTCTTTGGCAAGCTTTTCTTCGCGTTCTGGGTCATCATCCATCTCTACCCTTTCCTCAAAGGTCTCATGGGAAGGCAGAACCGCACGCCAACCATTGTTGTGGTCTGGTCCATCCTGCTTGCCTCCATCTTCTCTTTGTTATGGGTCCGGATCGACCCGTTCACGACCCGAGTCACCGGTCCTGATTCAGAGCAATGTGGAATCAACTGCTAGACAAACTGGCAGATGGAAACGAGCTCGCCTTTTGTTGCCACGCTCCTTGGCTCAATCAAGAACAAACAAACAAGCCTTGGGGGTATTTGGATGGCTTAATTCTTTTTTGTTTCTTTTTGTTGTAACTTGTATTTGTTCATGTAATATGCTTTTCACGTGCAGGTTATAGTTGCTAAGAGCAGAAATTTAAATTAAAATTACGTTGTGTGAGGGTTCTATTCTTTTGTAATACCTTGAAATAACTTATTGTTTTTTCGGGGGGAACTATTAATTTGTGATAAAAAGGATCACACTTCTTTGTCTACAATCTGCATATTATCTGGTTCCTTACTCTGTTTCTTCTTCTTCTTCATTAGCCATAGAAAGCAAGAAACTGTATTTGCCTATTACGACCCTTCCATGGGAATTGCTAGGATTCACCTCGTTCACACCACGACCACTTACAAAATTATTTGGTTGGTGAATGATCAATTGAGGATAATAATCAAAATGATTGTAGATTTCGCAACATGTTCATTAGAGCCACTAATTTGATGAGTTGGTTTGAGAATTTATTTAACATCTTTAAAAATAGGATAAGATGAATTTGACCCATTTAACCACAAGTTACACTTTAAGAATTCGAGAATGCGTATAGCCATATGCCCATCTTCACCTCCATGGGATGCCACTACTTATGGAATTATATCTTTATCAATCTTATCTTCATCTTTTCACAAGCTCACATACATGCACGCATATGTACATATATAAAATACTAAACAAGTTACAGCTAAAATATATGTAAACTGGCCAACTGAATTATTTTGTAGTCCGTTGTGGGATTAGGATTGGCAACGCATGTATACAAAGCATCACTATGATATCTTCTCCCCCAACATGAAGATGCATCAATTTATTTATTTATTTATTTGTTTATTTATTTTTGTTTTCATGCAAATCTTCATACTCTCCTTTTTAAAATTTTTCTGGTGGCCAAGTCAAACATAAATTCTGGAAGCAGGATATCTCATGCCCACGCCGCTGCCCATGCTTTTCATTCACAGCCTTGTATTCGCAAGAGCCAACCCAAAAAAAAAAAAAAAAGCAAAATCTGAAAGCTCAAAGGATAAAGTTCAATACAAATTTAAGCCCTGAAATAATTACTATAAATGTAATAATGTTAATTACTTTCCAGAGGGTTAAAGGAAATAATAAAGAGATGACAACCAATTGAAGTTCAGGTGAGTAGTATAGGAGCTCTCATCATGATAATGAAAGAGATGAATGAATGAATAGTGCGTAGAAGTGGTTAAAGATACCATCATGATGATAAAAGAATGGTGAAGCATCATTTATTTCAATGTTTTCACCTCGTTTCATTGAGTTTCCTTTTCTTTCAAACTCTGAATTTCTACGCTCATTCTGAATTACATTTTAATACGTGCATTTGAGGAAATTATGATTCTAAAAAAAGAGACTGAACTCATACTTACTTGATCAAAAATCTGGTTCTTCATAGAAATTAGGATAAATATGCAGTTTAACTTCTGATTTTTTTTTTGGTCGTATAACTTTATTAATGATTTTTTGGTACAATTTTACCCTCTCCTAAATAGACTATTACGAATTATCTAAAATGGAAAAAAGAATTATAAGTGTGCCAAAATAATTGGTCTTATCTTTTCAATTCCATTATATTATTCATTGTTCCATTCCACGGAGTTTTTTTTTTTTAAGGTTTCCCAGGGTATCCTCACAATCAGTAGCCATGGGACTAATCCCCCTCCTATTGCTGACACACAAAGTGATAGGGGACTGGCCACCAGATGTTTTTTATTCACAAGAGTTAGACATCGAACCTCCAACTACTTACTTAAAAAACAAGATGTTGAATTATTACGCCTACCCGTTTTTCATTCCATGGATATCTACTTTGCGTGGTCCACAACTTGCTACGTCTTCCTTTCCCCTTTATTGGGCCAATGCAAAGATCTTCTGTCCACGCTAATTTCAATTTCTTTTCCCTAAATATAGATATCCTCATATTAAAAATAATTATGTTCTTTTTTTTTTTACCAGCAAAAATAACTATGTTCAAGATACTATCTAACTAAAACTCAAATTCTAGTTTATGAGAGATTGCGTGACTCGTTTGCAATTTAAAAGAGTAAGAACACGCAAGTTGAGATTATAACTCGAACTCATAGACAAGCTTTTATATCATTAGATATCAATGGTCAGGGTGGATTTCATCATCAAGTGATCCGAACAGTTGGATGAAATGGACGGTCCATAATCTCTGATGATCAGCCTTCCACCAGCCTTCATGATGAGCTGCAGATCCGAACTTGGATCCAGATATGAACAGAGTTCCAGAAAGATGATGTTGTCAGGCCATCACGTGAATTCACACGTGGCGACTCCCACTCTCCTGCATGCTCCTCCATGCTATTTTACGTGTCCATCACATGCTTCCCCTTCAAACATCAACTTATTCACAAACCTGCCATAACTGTCCCACGTCACCATGACACGTGGCGAATCCGAGATCCTCAGTGCACAGTAATTTCACGACGCGTGGTACCACCCAATTAAATGCCCCATGTTCTCCTCTCCTGTCTCTCTCTCCCTCCTTTATAAAACGACCATGAGAATGAAGAAAAACGAAAAGGAGAATCATATCATTCTCTCTCTCTCTTCCCTTCTTCCAATCCAAGAAGGCGACTCCCACAAAGCTTATTTCTTTATTCTCTTCGGCTGAGAGGGATCGGAATATTTTTGTTCTTTGATATTCTCGGGAAAGTGACAGAAAATGGCTTCCACTGAAGAACCAATCCTCACTAGGATCGACCGTTTGGATAACATGGTCAGTTCACCATCTTCGTTACAGTTCTAGTTATAAGAACTTGTTTACAGTCGAAAATAGTATATGTTTATTATTAAACTTTTATTATTAAATCATCATTTTCTTCTATTTTCAGACCACATTTTTCTTATCATTATTAGATATACTTATACTTGACTAGAATTTTTCAGATAATAAAATTGGAAACTGTTTCCTTTATTCATAACTAGTTTAGGTGAAATGATGATAAGTGACCTTTAAAAAAAATAATTTTGAGGAATATTTTCCTTTAAGAAAATAGTTGAAGCATTTGAGTGCAATTTTTCTTTTTGTTTGGCGAAAATTTGAGTGGAAATTAAACGAAACTATGCGGGTGATTCTTAATTGGGCCATAGTATAGACTTTTGGGCCTAGTTTTATAGTTGGGCTGATATTTTAAACTCATTGGTTTTTTAATTGGGCCGAGATTGATCTTGTCGGGTAAATGTTGTAGTTGAAGCAATTGGAAGAAATTAGAGGGTACAACAGATCTCCTAAGAGCTCTTTTGAATCAACTCCATCAAGCGGCACACTGACGAGTGAAGGCCACGCGTCGTCCGTTGATTTCTCCCCTAAGAGCCTGGAGAAGCACTGCCGTCCGATCGACCACGTCATTATGGAGACTGGAGTGAAAGGAACGTTGATCGAGAGGCTTGATCATCTGGAGGATCGCATGCTGAAGGTAGGGAGAAAATTGTTATTCAAAGTCTAAATTTAAGAAATTCTATTTGATTTTTTTCTTTCCTGGAGTTTTTGTTGCTATATAAATTCAAGAAAACATCATATAATATGAAAAATGCTTTCATATCCTTTATTGAATCATTATTCTCATCTTTTGTTGGGGAATTTTTTATAATTTAATTACAACTTAAACTCTCCCAGACCTTTCTTCCTAAATTTTTGAAATACATGCAACACCATTAAAACTTAACAGAGAACTAGAATTGCTCCAGTTCATCCCTATGTAATGTAATGTCCATAAAATTCAAAAGTACTAGAATTACAGGAGTAATAGCCCAAAAAAACAAAGAAATGATTTGAACAGCAATTTTAGAGTGTGATTGAGCAGTGGCAAAGAATCTTGATTCTAATCAATTACTGCATACCATATTGATTATTCAATTCACTTAATAAATTAAAAATGGATTCCTTCAATGCCATCCAGATTTCTATTTTGTTCTTTTGAAGGAGTTAATAATGCTAATGGGTCGCGGCGGTGGCGGCAACAATAATGTTAATGTGGAAGCCAGCTAAAATGAAAAGTGCTCTGTTATTATTATCGTCATCACAATTATTATTATTATTAATTATTATTATACAAAACAGTATCTAACTTTAGTGAAGCTGAATAGAGATGAGGGTATAACAATAATGATCTAATAGGTCTGATGTTATAATATGAAAGCTATGTTTGCAGATAGAGGCAGATTGGGAGAAAAGGAGGAGGAAAGAAGACATGAGGAGAATAACAGAGAAGAAGCAGCAGGAGGAGAGCCCCAAGAAGAACAAGGGACTGAAAATGTTTGTCAAACATTGTGTCAAATTTTAGCCTTATCAAGCCACTTTTGATCCTTTGTTCTTCTTTGCTGTACAAAAGTTTCAGCTTTTCCTTTTCTTATATGTGCAAGTTGTGACTTTGGTTTTCACAAGTCATGATGAACAATTCTGTTTACATTCTCTTATCAATAGAATCCGCGTAAGCAATGCTTTCATTAATCTTTTCACTTTAGATGAGCTGTCGCACATTAAAGTTTGAACCTGTACATGAACAAGAATTCACTCTAAATATGCTATAAAATTCATATGCATCACACCATGCCAAACAAACACAAGGATAGACAGAAGTACAAAAACTTGAAACTTGACAGGATACTGTTATAGAAGCTGATGTCAGTCCGTGTCAAAGGGAAACATATCCTTACGATCATCAGATAATTGTTAACAAACTAATCAGTTAATTAGCCCATAAGTTTAGGTGACAGGGATGATTTTGTTTCAAGGGGGGCAAAAAACCAGAAGATGACGACCAAATTAGCATACCCAAACAAGCTTGGACTAATTTCATAAATTTCAGAACTTAGATGAAATAAGTATCTTTAAAACGACCAAAATAGTAGTCAAACCAAAGAAATCGCTTCCTTCTTATAGTTCCATTTGCCAACTCAAATCTAAAAATCAAGCGACAAGTTGAAATATCCATCTACCTCTCAGGCACCAGCTTCTGGGGACCTAGATTGTTTATGACACTCTTCATCTGCATCCCTCATAAATCTATCCCAGCCACTTCCAGGGCTAGTATCCAAGTAATCATATGGAACTGCCGTCTTAAGCCCTGGCCTGACAGCACAACGATCTTCAATAATTCTGAACTCCACACCATCTCCGTCTTCAAGAATCTGATCTAGTTCCTCCCATGCAAACAGCAATGGCAGTGTAAAAGCACCCCATGGATTGAAATCCACTATTTTAACCCTCTCACCCTTTGTAATGTAAACATCAAATGTGTAGTCTTCTGATTCAAATACAGCTCTTACTTTGTCGTTGAAGAAATCCTGTATGAGTAAAAGGAGATCGTTCTTCTTTTCAAGCAAGGAAGGATAAAAAGTAGTCACCTCACGCTGCGAAATTCCAATTAGTTTCTTCCCTCGCACGAAACATCGAAACTCCATCTCTGGCCGAAGGGATGGGTACCACTTGCGAAGGGCAAGGAAGAAGTTTTGGGGTCTAGACGAAGATTTATCATCACTAGAATCATAAGCATGACACAAGTCATGGACCAATGAGTCAGATGACCGGAGCAATAGCGCGATCTCACTGAAGGTGGAGCACCCGAGGGTACCTGTGGTACTTATCCAAGCAGAGTCTTTTGGTGCGCTCCAATTCAGCTTGGGGAAGACTGCACCTCCAAGGGATTCAATCGATTCCTTAACTTTCAATTCAAGTTCTGGAAATGAAGGTGGTGGTGGAGGTTCTTCAGCTTCATCACCAGATCCTTCTGAAACTTGATAATCTTCTTCCTCATCAGGATTATGAATTCGATTGGGAAAGGGGTCTTCGTTTGAGACAGAAACTGGCAACAGGAAGGGCCCAGAGTCGTTGAGAAGATAATCAACAAAAGATTCTGGAAGTTGGTGAATTATGGTTTTGATGGATACTGATTTAAACTTTGGGTACCATTCCTGAATTTGACACCGATTCACCTCTTCCACTTTCATGTTCTCTAGATAATGGCGATTCTCTCAGATAAACGCAGCTATTCTTCTGTTTCTCCAAGTATCTGGCATGCAACTGTCGGAACCTAATCAATCATTGCAAAGAAAGGTACATTACAGCCAGCAGAACCTCAAGCTCAAACGGGATCGATGGTGTCATGACTTTCCAAATAATTTCATCTCTTATTCAAACATTTTTTTTGATAAAATACATTTTTATCCAAGGAGATGATAGCCAAAGGAGAATAAGACACTGTGAGAAGAATCTAGGAAATATAGCATAGAAAAATAGGCAACAAAAATGATAAAAAGTGTAATAATGCAGCCCAATCGCTCGGAAAATCTAAGACAGCAAACCTTCTAAATCAAATCATCACCAACACCCCACATGGAGCACATGAATACTATCCTTTTAGACAATGCCTCCAAGACAATGAAAAAACATTAAATTTCAAACATCACAGAGTCTCTTTTATTCCTTCCAAGCCATGTAAAAATATATTAGTAGAGTGAGCGCCAATGTTTGGGGAGAAGTCCAACGTCTTCGGTTAAGCTTGACCCCTTAGATCAAGAAAAAATCAACATGGATAGCAAGAGAAAAGAAAATTTATAATAAAAATTGACTTGAAAATTAATTCAAACGGGATTAGTCACCAACAAAATTTTGCTTATACTGGAAAAAGAGAAAAATTTTGGAATAAAGAACTCCTAGGAAGGTTGAAAGTGTTAGCAGAAATACAGCCATGCAAAGTGCTGCAATTATGTTAATTAGCACGGAACCACACGTGTCAGCACTATCAAACATAAGCAAACAGCTGTTTGAAAAATTAGCATTTCAGCGCTTCTCCTCATCACTAAGCCGATTCACCTTTTTTCATTCTTTTAAGTACAGTCTTTAGCTAATGAACTTTTAATATTACATATACAGTGAAAGTCATTGTTATCTCCTTCAGTAGCCGAATCAAAAAAGCTACAAATTCATAGAGTGAACTGCGAAAAACTACGGCTTTCAAGCATTTCATTGAACATCGGCCCCTCAGGCCCAATGCACTACTTTTCCCACGGATTCTCCATTATAAAATATGGTCTTTATACCAGAAGGGAAATTATAATTTTTAATCGTATGGGTAACCAGAAAACATGGTTCAAATCTGTTATATGCTGATGGAAGTTCACCTAAAAATATTTTAAACGGTAAACAAAATTTTAAACTCACCACAGTGATACCGAAGGCTCTAGGTCTTCATAATGGATCCTCGCAGGTTTTTGATTTAATGAGCGAGAGCCACAGACGAG